TATTATCATCATTGGTAATTTGTATTGAAGAAGCACTTATTGACACCAGTCAAGGATCGGGACTCTAGTATGCTAGGCACTGTACATATATGTGGTAAAAAGACAGTCCCTCCCCAAAGAGGTTGCAGTGTAGGTTGTGACAAGACACAACAGGCAGAACTGTTTGAGATTCTTGGATTCAGGAATCATTGAGTGAAACCTATGGCCTGTGCTTATGCAGGTAGTCAGATTAAATAGTCATAAAGGCCCTTCTGGCCTTAAAATCTATAAAAAATCAGGACTGGTCTTAGTCCAATATTGGCACAAACTAATTTGAATTCAGTGAGGAAGAGGATCTTGTATTGGACTGTACCAATGTAATAAGACATTGCAAATCGCAGTTTGTTCCCCATAGGATTCCAGGTGAGTTAACAGATAATGGCCAAGAATGCAGGAGGGGTACATTTTGGTAATTCTCTTCAATGTCAGCCCATGTACACCATGTCAAGTCCTTCCCATGCACATTCAGAAAGGGTTAGTAGAAAAAGCTACATAAGTAGCAAAGAACTTGATTTAAAAGAAGAGCCCTGCTGTGCTGAAGAGATTCCACAGACAGCATTGTTAGAATGTCCCAACACACCTCGCAGGAGTTTATTAGGATCACCATTTCAGAGTATACGAACTTCTGCCCAGCTAAATCCTACAGTTCCAATCGAATGAATTATTCTTCCTGTCCTAAAAAGCACTCATGGGCAGAGTTAGTGGGCCCTACAATGTTCCACCTGGAGGTGGCTACATTTTAGAGATGGGTGAAGGGATCCCTAAACACAGTCCTTAATATGCAGCCAGATTCTTCAAGATAACCATTGGGTATTTTAATTTTCTCCCACATTATTTTTCCTGTATTCATGTAATGTAACACTTTTTCAGAGAGGTGCTGCCTTTTATTGGTGAGAAATTCCCTTTTGTTCTGCTTGTGCTGGACTTTAAATGTCATCATAAAACAATGGCGGCCAAGCACCAGATCCAGATTTCACAATTCGTTGACTGTTCCCCAGTATGGTTTTTAATCCCACAAAAAACTGTTTTATGTTCCCTGCCCATTCCTCCTCTTCTCTCCCTCTTGTTTTCCTGGGTTGCAGCCATTTTGAATGCAGGCCATCTTCCCTTTTGGCCCAGAGAACTGGACTGGAAATATTTGAACCTCAAATCCAGCTCCAATAGGTTTTAATGTTGTATCATCAAAATTCAGTCTGTCCGTAAAAAGGTCCACATAAAAGGAAATTAACTGAACGTATCCCACCCTCAGTAAGTAAAATTAAAAAAAAAAATGGAAAACTGCGTGCAATGTAAGGAATAGTAACTGATTTTTTTTTTTTTTTTTTTTAACATCTCCCTGAGGCTGTCCTGGCAAATGTCTCTTTAATCTGTATTTCACTAGAGCACTTGCAGCTTGAAGTGCTTTTGAGAGCCAGGCAGCTGAGCTGTGTTGTACACAAGCCTGTTGGCATGAATCTCTGGAACCAAGCCCTCCATCCAAGACATGGAAGAAGAGTTACTATATTTCTGTAGAGAAATCACCACAACAGATAGAAAAGGGGTTTTTCCCTCCCCCTTTGTTCCAACAGAACTTCTCTTCTTCCCCCAGATGCTCCCTGGGCATCCAGGCATGAGGGCTTCCTCACCTAGCTCTGTCCCTGTTCTAGATGACGCTATTCAAGGTCCTTACTACTTCTGCATTCTCCCACCTCCTCCTTTTTGGTTCCTTTTTCCTCTAGTGGATGGCTACTGTCACTGCAGTCACACTAGAGCCAGCAGTCTCACTCCGTGACTAGTCCCATTCTGAAAACAGGCCAGTGTGATGTGTTCACGAGCACATCAGATATAACCTTCTGAAATCTCTTCAGAGCCTGAGGTGCTTGTTACGGCCACTCTCCCAGGCGGTGAGATTCTTAAGGTGCCTTCCATGAGAATTTCATATTGGAACAGGCAAATGGTTCATGTGGTCCAGTGTCTTATCTCTGGGTCAGATCCTGTGCTTTCCTCTGCAGTCATAGAAGTCCTTCGCCCTGCCACTGCAGAAAGGAGTAGAGAAAGGCAGGATTTTGAGAACCTTTAGAGAACAACGTGTGCCTCAACATGAGGGGCTTTTGAGTGGCTGGACAAGGGGAGGAAGGTAAGTAAGGCTGATATATCCATGACTATGCAATTTCACTGGCTTTCCTCCCTCACTGACGGAGAGCACAGCTGCCACAGGAATGACTGCACACTGCATTGAAGACCAACGAGTGGCTTCGCTGCTGCTCTGCATCCAGTAGGGGAGGTTTTCCTCCTCCACTGTGGAGGTGCCCCCACTTGCAACCTTACTATTTGGGCTGTGAGCCTGGAGTCTAGGATTTGGCCTTCTGACAATGGTCAATGCTGGTTGTTTCAGAGGAAGGAGTAGCCCACCCTCTCTAACTATTGTTCAATGGAAGCAGATTCCTTCCTGATCCTCAATTGGTGAGCAAGTTATGCCCTGAAGCATGAAGATTGTAGCTAGGGCAATGACTCTTGCTATTTGTTTGCTTTTTTAGGTTGCAGTGGGGAGGGCTGCCTGCATGTGCATGCTTTTTTCCATTGCATCTTCTACCATCCCATTATCTATCTTTTCTGTAAGGAAGCTCATGCTATCAGGATGCAAAATATATAATTAAATGGCAGAACACTAGGTGGGGCAAAGACAGCAGCATGCACCTTGGCCAGGAGGTCAGACTAGATGACCATAATGGTCTCTTGAGGCCTTATAATCTATGAATCTATGCCTGATGCATGCAACACCCACAAAAGCAACTTTCAGAGGTGGCAAGTTACAGCATCCTGCCCTTAGGGTGTGTTCACTTAATGAGTATTCTGATGTCATGTTTGTCTTGTCTTTTACTGGTTGAGTGTGCTGTCATTCAGTATGGTATTGGGGGAGTGTCTGTGAAAACCACACAGAACTAGCTATCTCTCAACTTGCTCTTGTACATGAATTAAGCTTCGTAACAGAGCTCCTACTGTTTATCTTATTAGCCTCCTGTTTCTCGCAATGATGATTTTCTCAGGACTTAGCTAAGACTGGCCAGCTCACTTCACATGTGTATTGCAGCCCCAGCAGCTCTTCTTCCAAACCTGGAAACTCTGATTTCCTCCCTGACCCTCCCACTCATCCCAAACACTTGACCTCTAACAGCATTCCTTTGCTGGTCTTACGACCTTCCATGTAGTTTCTCTCTCCCTCTCCACCCAAGACTATGATTCTGGTTGCTACTTATAGAACTCCTTGTCTCGCTTGGCTGCCCCCTTGGTTGGAAACTCACCCTAAATATTTCCACATGGCTTGTGCTCTTCATGCACAGCTCACATTTTTTTTTTCTTTAAACATTTTTGAAAAGAATAAAAATCCCCCAGCTTATTCTACCTTCTGCTGCTGGCAGTGACCTAGCCTTGTTACTGTTTGCGTTTCTTTTGTACCTTTCTGCCGCTGAAGTCTCTGTGGACCTTTAAATCTGTCAGCAGCCACTACCAGGCTCAGTATGCAATTTAGCTCACTGTTTTCACAAGTTTCCCAGCCCTGAAAGCTTTCCAAATGAGCCATTGTGGGGCTGAATTAAAGAGGTATTGTCCCTGCATTGGGCGAGCTTAGCATGGGTGTTGCATTTACAGTTCTATTAGCCTCACAATGTCATCTTGTTATAGGACTCCTGAACACTTTCTCCTTCAAATGTATATATTACACACACAAAAATCTGGCTGAAACATTGTTTGAAACTGTGAGGAGGAGTGGATGGTCTTTGACCACACACGTGCACTCTCTTACTCTTGTTCAAGCACACACCTCTGCCGCTTGTCTTCTATGATCAGCACAGCTGGACCAAACAAAGCAAAATATGTTGGTGTGCTCTTTGGAATATTATTATTTATATCCCACCAGAACCTACGGACCTCAACTGAGATTGGAGCCCCATTTTGCTAAGCGCTTAACGTACACCATAAAAGACAGTCCCTGCCCTGAAGAGTTTGCCGTCTAAATAGCCGGGAAAAGGGGAGTATTATCATCCCCTTGCAGAAGGGGAACTGAGGCCAGAGATCAAGTGGCATGCACAGAGTCCCATTGGAAACCTGTGGTAGAACTGGGAATTGAACTTCTGAATCCAGTGTAGTTTACTAATGACAAGGTAATCCTTCCTCTCACAAAAATACTGTGCCAAACTTGCTGCTCTCATTAACAGATGAAGATATTTGCCCAGTTACACCAATGGTGAATTTGTCTCTTTGGAATATGTTGGTTTTTCCAAACATGAGGTTATACTTTTGTCTTTTGGTGGGAACTGGATGGTGCAGGGGAGTGGTAATGGGAAATGGATCCTTTCGCTCCAGGTTGCTGGCTCAAAGCCGGCCTAAAAATCATTGGTAGTTTGGCATAGCTGGCAGTCTCTGGGGTTGTTCTATTGGGGGTTGGTGCAGGTCAGTCTTGAAGTGTATTGGCAGGGCTGAGCTGGGAGTGGGCAGGATCCAGGTTGGTATTTTGGGCCTGGAAGGAGGTGCATTGACTCTATATAGACTTCTCAGAGAAAGTTTAGTGTCTGCCTTATTTTAGCCAGAGCAATGAGGTTTTTTCCCTTCAACTCTTTCATGACGCATCACCTTATATCAGGACGTATCACTTCTTATTCATCAAATACAATGATTGCTCCCACCCAGGTGAGCACAGGTGTAATGATAATTCACAAGGGAAGTTAGACACTGTGGTTGCTCGTCACCTCCCTGGGTCTGTTCTGCTCTAACTGCGGGAACCTGTAGCAGAATATATGAACGTAAATCAGTGGTGAAGGTGATGCAGGCAATACAAATCTTTACAGAGATCAATCGTTACAGGGAGACACTAGGTCCTCTGCTGCTTTAATTGAGGGTGTGGGGCGTGCTTGACGCATGTTCTTTCCACAGTATCGGCAGGTGTCAATGCAACTGACTGTGTGTGTTTCATTTAACAATCCCAGGATGAACTGGATCTCACGGATAAGAACAGAGAGGCTATGTTTGCACTCCCTCCAGAGAAGAAGTGGCAGATTTACTGCAGCAAAAAGAAGGTACTATCTTTTGATTGATTTAAGTAGCTAAATAATAAACTGTGTGTGTGTGTGTGTGTGTATATCTAGAGAGAGTGTTTACCCATCTAGATCTACACAGAATATGTGGTGGAGTGGTATAAAGGCTTTATTGGCATGAGTTTGGGACAGCTTTCTTATGAGTAGTGAAAGCACAGGTGATTTATGAAGGGCATCCAGAACCAATTAAAGCCTTTATGCCTTACTGAACCATCATGAATTTTTGCACATGCCATGTATGTTACAGGAAAAAAACTATTTTGGAAGTGTTTTATAGAATTTTAAAAAACTTTGATTACTTTAGTTATCATGAATCCAATCATAGAAGGCTCAGAGTGGAAAGTACATTTTTAGGAACCTCTTAAAATATCTTAATATATATGTAATTATGTTGCTGTTGTAAAGTTTGATATCTCCGGGCCCTCCAGAGCAAGTAGAAGGCAGCGTATATCCCATTTGACAGAGAGAGATCAGTTCATGTGAGTTTCTAGGGGTAACTTCCTCATTCAAATAAACAGGAAGGTTTTGAAATTGCTGTCAAAGAAGCGAGAGACTAGAAGGATAAGGACTTATGGCTGATACCTACATTAATTCCCATAGGCTTTTTCACTAGAAAAATAGGGGGTTGGGAGAGCTGGCTGGATTTTTTTTTTTCACCTTTGGGAAACGTGTAGGAGAGAGAGACTTCCAGGAGTAGAGCATTGGATATTATTGTGGTCCCCAAGAAATAAAGAAGCATTTCCCTGATGATCTAGCACATGTTGGTTAAAGAGAAATGCCTGGAAAAAGCAACTTTGGTGTGTGTTACTTCTTAAGCTTGTGTTAGTCACACCAGGAGCTCTTAGCTTTTTGTCTTCTGGAGGCTGGTCCACAAGAGGATAACATTCTGATTCTATCTGACAGGAGAGTGGCCTCAAACAGTAGACTCATGCTTTTAGCACTGAAGAGGCCAGATTCAAAGTCTGCAGATGACCCAACTGAGATCATATTTGCCCTACTGCTGCCTGCAACTTATTTTTTCCTGTGAATACATTGACGGCTTCAGTACCTGGGGTTGTCAATCTGGACTCTTTCCTTGGCACTAAAATTACAATGGAATTAAAAAAAAAAAAAAACCTCAAACCAAAAAAGATGTTTTGCATATGGGCAGCTCTCAGCTGAAACCTACCTTAACCCAGGAAAAGTTGTTGATGATGAATAATGTATTAGTATCTGAATGCTAGCAGTAATCCAGGAAGTACCGAAGAACCTCTTCGGCTCTGAGAATTCCATACACCTATTCTGTTTGGTGGCTTGCATTATCCTTCCTGCTGGTGCATAGAGCTTGCACGTGGAGAGAAGGTGCAGGCTCCTGTGATTAATGTCTGCCTTACATTTTTGCTGGCAGACTCATCTGGCTTTCTCAGCTCTAGTGGGAGAGGATCTATTTGTAGTCATCTTAGAGAACCACACATTCCATCTCCTGGACCTGCCAGCTTTGGCAGGAAGTTGCAGACTTTAATGTATTTAATATGTTGGTTGGATTCACTACATTACACTTTTTTAAGGCAGTAGATTTGATATAAGAATTCTGAAGACCTCCGGAGTTAAAGGGGCCGCACACTGGAAAATCTTTATGCTGCACATACAGTGCAACATCACTTATCCAGACTCTAGGTATCTGAAATGCCCTGTTAACTGAAAAAAGGTCCTGATGCCAGGTGTCCTTTAATTACATTGCAAATACTCTCAATTATCTGATGTTCTTTGCTTTTCCCTCCATGACCCTCCTGTCTCTCCCTAAGGACAGTCACAATATCAGTGCTGATCTCTATCTTCCTCTCTCTGGCTGTCTGTATCTAATCTAATCTATCTATCCTACAATGACAAAAGTTTGCCAGGTGTCTTGCAATACAGAGAGAAAGAAGTTGCAAATTCTTTGTGGGAGGGACAATCTAATATTAGACATGAAGGGCTCAATTCTCTAATGTAAAGCACCCTGTCAGGAACTCAGAATATGTCCTGCAAGGGAGGTCTCACCCTGGAAGGTGCTGAGCACTCTCCATTCCCATTAGTTTCATTTAAATCAAGATGGAGTGTTTAGGTATTGTGACAGCATGACAGAGATGCTCTAGGAATTAATTTGGGGGAAGTTCTATGGCCTGTGTTATGCAGGAGGTCAGACTAGATGATCACAGTGGTCCCTTCTGACCTTGGAATCTATGAATCAGGAGTTGAGGGCATTCAACACCTTGCAGGAGGAGTGAGCAGTCAGTTCTGGGTAGGTGGTGTACTCTGAAATGGAAGTGTTAAGAAGTAAAAATTGAGGGGACCGTTCACATACATTAATCCAAGATGCCATTTCCAGTCTAAGATGAATGGAAGGTCAAAGTTCCCGAATTTGCCTTAAAGACTGTGGGACCCACTGACTGTCTTACGTAAATAAATGCCCTTTACAAAAATGTGGCTCGTGCATCACTAAAGGCACTTTGTTCATTTGTCTTGACAACTGTAGTTTATATTTAATTATTTATGGTGATGGTTGCTAAGGTGCGCGTGGAAGGTCATTGCGGTACACTCAGACCTCATTACAGCCTGCCTTTCACGTCATATCATTGTTGAGAAATGGGGAAAGGCAAACTTAAAAAAAAAAAAAAAAAAAAGATATAGGCCTGAGCCAAACCTCACCAACCCATGCACTGCAGGACTTGAAGACATTCAAATCTGGATCCAAATATTCTGGTTTTGGAGCCGGTCTCTTATTTCAGATAACTGCCGATTAGCAAATTTCTATGGCATTTGTGTAACTAACCCCACTCTGGCTATCCTTGACCTTTTGAAATTAGGACCTCTAGTACTAAACGCCGATCCTCCACCCCTTGAGCTAAAGGAGTAGAACCTCTACCTCGTTGCTGTCGTGACTCTTATACTCTGTTGTGGGCCTACCACTGGAGGTAGACAAAGACCCACTCGACCCTGGCATGAAACATTTGCATCTTTCTCATGCCTTTGCATCCACTCCTTCAGAGCGTTATGTGGTGATCGAGTCAGAGCTGATGCTAACACACAGGACTGTCTTCATTTGTATTGGAATGAATCATGATTCAGTCTCCCTTGAAGCTCTTCTGACCCAAATACCAAACGCTTGCCTTAGGTCCGAATGTTGTCCTCTCTCTCTCTACTGTGAACATCCACTGGGATCAAAGGGGGATGTATGTATTGATTGATTGCATTTTATGATACTCTCAACCCATTCATATAGCATATGCTGCCTTTGTTCAGTGTGTGCATCTCATCTGCACATCAGTGGAAGTCAGGACTGCTGTAGACAATTGACCCAATTCTGTAATCCCTACACATATAAAACACACACTCCTGCTGAATTTCCTGGGAATTACTTGTTTACAGGAACTGCAGATCAGGTTCTGTACAGTGCAATCAGATTATATTTTAAGCAGTAAACTTTCTGGTACCACCAATGCTTAGAAAAATGTTAGCATTAATTTTTTTCAGGTTTTAGAACATTTTATTTGCATATTAAAAAATTGTGCATTCCAATAATTAAAATCATTTGAACAAAAAAGGGCACTCGATTAACTGCATTTTACAGTTCGCAGGACCTTGAAACAGCTTTGCATTTATTTGTGTGTTGTTGCTTCACCAGAAGAGCTATGTGCACGTGTTTGTTTGAAAAGGTTAATATTAATTTTAAAAAGTCATTGGTTAAATTATTTGACTGTTACTTGGCCAGCTCTTATTAGGATTCTATAAGGGCTAGACGGTGTGAATTGCTGAGAAACCTCAACTCATACTGATTTAGAACATTCTGCACTTCACACAATCAGGTTTTAATGTGCCAGTAATAGCCTAGTGCCTTCTGCACAGTCTCAATAACACAAGGCCCTCTTAGGGTATGTCTACACTACGAGAGTAGTTCGATTTTAGTTAAATCGAATATGTGCAATCGATATTAGAAAGTCGAACGTGTGTGTCTACACTAAGGACAGTAATTCGACTTTGTCAGTCCACACTACCAGGGAAAGCGTCGACATTGGAAGCAGTGCACTGTGGGCAGCTATCCCACAGTTCCCGCAGTCCCCGCTGCCCAGTGGAATTCTGGGTCGAGCCCCCAATGGCTTCTGGGTAAAAAATTGTGGCGAGGGTGCTTTTGGGTAACTGTCGTCATCCGTCAGTCACTACCGCCCTGCCTCCCTCCCTGAAAGCGCCGGCGGGAAATCAGTTCGCGCACTTTTTGATCAGTGACAGCGCGGACGCCACAGCACTGCGATCATGGATCCCGCTGCGACCATCGCTGCAGTTGTGGCCGTTCTCAACGCCTCGCACCTTATCATACACCTTTCCCAGAGGCAGATGCAGAGAAATCAGGCGAGGAGGCTACGGCAGCGGAGTGAGGGCCTGAAGTCGGAGAGTAGCACAGAGCTGTCAGAAACCACGACACCCAGCGCCGAGGACATCACGTTTGCAATGGGGCATGTGGATTTTGTTGAACGGCGATTCTGGGCCCGGGAAACAAGCACGGACTGGTGGGACCGCATAGTGCTTCAGGTCTGGGATGAATCCCAGTGGCTGCGAAACTTTCGCATGCGGAAGGGGACTTTCCTGGAACTTTGTGAGTTGCTGTCCCCTGCCCTGAAGCGCAAGGACACCCGCATGCGAGCAGCCCTGACTGTCCAGAAGCGAGTGGCCATAGCCCTCTGGAAGCTTGCAACGCCGGACAGCTACCGGTCAGTCGCGAACCACTTTGGCGTGGGCAAATCTACCGTGGGGGTTGTTGTCATGCAAGTAGCCAAGGCAATCGTCAAGGTACTGCTGTCAAAGGTAGTGACCCTGGGAAACGCGCAGGCCATCATAGATGGCTTCGCTGCGATGGGATTCCCAAACTGCGGTGGGGCTATAGATGGGACTCACATCCCTATCCTGGGACCGGGCCACCAGGCCAGCCAGTACATCAATAGAAAGGGGTACTTTTCAATGGTGCTGCA